TTATTCAACACTGGCTTGAAAGTTCCAGCCAGGGCAATCAAGTTATGATCACAAGGCAAGTAAGTGTAAGTGAGGACATGGAGAGCTCAGAATCCTCATACACTGCTGGCGGGGACGTAAAATGGTGCAGCTGCTTTGAAACAGTCTGGCAGCTCCTTGGAAGGTGAAACACAGAGTTATCATGTGACCGAGCAATCCCACTCCTGCAAATGCCCAGGATAATAAAAAGCTATGCGTACACAAATACTTGTGCATGAATGTTCACTGCAGTATTATTCCTAATAGCCGAAAAGTGGAAACAACCCAAATGCCCATCAATGATAAATGGAGAAATAAAACGTGGTATATCCATATAATAGAATATTATTTGGCGATAAAAGGAAATGAAGTACTAATCCATACGGTACTAATTCAAGTACCGTATGAATGAACCTTGAACACACTACACTAAGTGATAAAAGCCAGACACAAAAGACCACATATCGTGCGATTCCATTTATATGAAATGTCCAGAACAGACAAATCTGTTGAGACAGAAAGTAGGTTAGCGGTTGCCTAGAGCTGCAGTGGCTGCTAATGGGTATACGCTTTCTTTCTGGTGTAATAAAAATGTTTAAAATGGACTTTGTTGGTGGCTGCACGACTCCGTGACTACACTAAAAACCACTGAATTGTACCCTGTAAATGGATGGATTGCATGTGAATTAGCTCCATAAAGCCGTTCTTGAAAAAAACTATACAGACTCATCCCTTGCTGTTTGACTACAGATGCTCTTTTATATTTACTTTGGTCAAAAAAGTAAGGCTTCTGAGAAACATGTCTGCCTAAAGCTTATAAAGGTAACCCTTAACTGTAAAGTCTGTAACAGTTTAACAACTTAAGTTGTCAGCTTTGTCCTAGGAAATTGTATGTGTCACACTAAGGTTTAAAAACTGGGAACTGACCAATCTTGTCTTAATTAATTTCATATCATCAATATTCCGTGAGTCTTATCTGTTACAAACAGATAGTATTTGATTTGACTCTTTCTGTGTAGTGACTCCACTTCCTTTGAGCAAGTGACATATTTGTGCCTCGGTTTCTCTATCTGTAAAGGGGATAGCACTACTTCTTAGTTGTTATAATCACCAACCAATTAAGCAAATATATATAAATTGCTTTGCACTCTTATGGGACATACAACAAATTGACCAGTTACCATCACTATAGGAAAAATTAAAGTTGCCTTTAATAGAGTGGATCCAAACACAACATGAATTTTTATTTCTTCCACAGCCACGAGGAAACAACAAAACGTATAAGCTTCAGTTCTACAGAAATGGTGTTGTTTTCTCACATTCCACGTGAAGTTACCTAACAGGATGATACTGAAGAACACAACCGAAAGAGTTTTTTCCTGCTTAGTCTGACTCTCTGTGTTATGAAGTATAACAGAGGCTATTTATCAAAGATAGAAATGTTAGCACAAGCATAGGGATGCCTTCAACTAGACTGTGTGATTTATTCAGTATTCCCAGGCAGGATCTACTCTTTTTCATTCTAATAAAACTAATAAGGTACTTGACTGCCACTGGCAAGTACTGTCACTGGAAATTGTCAATTATAATCTATTTGAAATAATTGAGGCTTGGGGACAATACAACTCTGGAAGGCACTGTGTAAACTGTAAGTCGTACCGTTTCCCAGCAGATCCCTCCCCAGCAAACCCCGGCAGTATGAGATCTTAAGGAAGGGAAACTATCTTTTTTTTTTCCTAATCCCAGCAAAGGTCCCTCATGGACTAGTGATGGGGCTTATTTATTACTTTCCCTTTTAGAAATGCGCCTAACAGAAGTGAAGCGATTCGGCCAACATTCCTGATACCCAAGGCAGAAACAGAGGCTTTTTTTTTTTCTTTTCAGAACCAGGTTAAGTAAATACCACAGATAGGAAAACGTAAGTTAGATGCACAGATCGATCTTGTAAGATAAGAAAAGCCCGAGAGGCTTTGACTCAGGTATGCTGTTTTCAAAGAATTTCTTTAATCCTAAGAAAGGAAATCTTAAAATCTGCATATTCCCTAGTAGAGGGCGTTATGTCCCTGCCCGGGACCCTCTACATATGAAATTAAGTCTGTTTTTCTCCTCTTCATCTGTTTTCAATTTAATTATTGGACCAGCCAAAGAACCTAGAAGGGAAAAGGGAAAATTTTTTCCATTCTTATACTTTCTAGATTCAAAACCCATCTGGCCCCAAGCGTTTCAGACAGCCATAGTGAAGGTGCGTTTCATTGTCTCCCCAGAAGGTCCAGAACAGCGGTCCTGACACACGTACCGACACGGTACATGCTTCACGGTGCATGAGTGTTGTGTCTTAGAATTGCCGTATTATTTTCAAGGCTCATTCACATTAACGCCAACTGCAGTAACTTCTAGGTAATGTATCTTGTAATGTTTTCATAATTTGTTTACTTACATAAGTTAAACACAAGGGAAAACAGCTAAGGAAAAACTCAGATTATAAAGAAATTATACATGAGAAGATATATTCCAGTATACTTGTACTCAACAATTTGATTGAAATATATTCTTACAAAAATGCTGATTACAAGAAAATAGATGATTACTTTGCTGACAACGAAATGAGAAGTTAGTGTTCCTGGTGTGAGGCTGGAAGCTGCGAAGTCCTTCCTGTGTCGAGCCTGGTTTTTCGAAACTAAATTTGGAGCAAACTTTGGGACACAAGGCCTTACCAGCGCCTCCTTGCATCTTTACAATCTGTCAGCAGTTACTGGGTGCTGACGAAAGGTCTGAAGATCCACAGCTTTCTTGTGTATTGAGGGAAGGTTTACCCAGCCAAGCTTTTCTCATTCTAGCTTTTTGCTTAATGAACATTCCTTTTCACGCCCTGATACTAACTGCCACCTTTCTGTACTCCTATTAGCGACCACATTCCTCCCATCTGAGATGACTATCCTTGAACTAATTATCCAACAATAACAGTTAATACTATTAATAATGGCTAAATAAACTGAGTGCTTAATGAAGTAAAGGCTAGGGAGCAGAAACAGTGGTAACCGTTCATGATGATGGAGCATTCACCATGTGCTTGGCCCTGTTCTAAGCGCTTTATGTGTATTGCCTCATAAACCTTTATGACACTTTGAGGAAGGAATAATGTACCCCCATTTTATGGGAGAGTAAAGTGATGTCCCTCTAAGAATGATTCTTAATTAGAGGTCGACCTTGGAACACTTGAAATGCATGGGCGTCTCTGGTCACCCCATCTGTGAGGTGTAACTAGCATTTAATCGGTTGGGACCAGAGATGCTAAACTTCCTGTAACTTATCAGACAGTCCCAGACAACGAGGACAAAGCCCACCCCAAACGCAAGGTGGTCCCCACTGACAACCTCTCTCTTGCTGAGAACTTGTTTTCTACCATTCTTTTTTTATTAAACTACATCTCTTTTTTGGATTTTTGTGTTACCCAGCTCAGATTACATTTAGGATTAAAGCTGAAAATAACTCTGAGCTTTCAACCAATAGCTGACCTGGTTGAAAACTGTTGGGCTGTTTTACGCATAAAAGCCCCTCTTCCTAATATATTCTACTCTGTCACCAGAATTAAAAAAAGACATTGAAAAAGAAATAAAAAGCTTCAACCCATTATTTTTTTTTTATCCTAAAGCCACCAACATGATAGTTTAAGGAAAATTTTACATTAATTCTATTCAATTTGGGGGGCACAAATTCTTATAAATATGTCATGCAAAATCTTTTCACTAGGAAATATGTTTTCCACCCACCTGAGTGTATTAGTGTGAACTGAGCAAAAAGACATAGAAAAGTGTTATCTGCACAGAACTGGACTTTGCAGTCACGCGAGTCCATATGAAATTAATTTCCTTCCAGTGGCCATGTCCTCTTACCTTGATTCAAATTAAACATTGAGAAAATGAATTCTCACTAATTCTCTTTCAGCAGCCTAAAGCGCTGGGCAGGTAAAGTTAAAAGTTAAAGGATATATTAACTCTTGATATAGTATTAAAAATAAACCTAATAATAAATTAATTTCATTGGTTCCCTAGTCTGTTTATTTCTGTTAGCTACCTTTTTCAGTCATTTCCATCTTGGCAGGAAATTCTAAGCCCTGTTTGCTATAAAAATAGTATGACTGCCAGAGTCTTAAGGCCTCTAATTATCAGATGCAAAGAACCTTGAGGGGAGTAACAGATGAAGAAAAAGCCACAGATGTGATCAACTAACAAGCTTGTTGTACCAGATTCCTGGCTCAGGAGATCTGTGTGGAGTCCAACAATTTGCCGTCCTCAGAAGCCCCAGGTGGTAGTGGTGGCAGGGATGCTGGTCCTCAGACAGTGTTTCCATCAGCACTGGATGAAATGTCTCGGAGGCAAACTCTGCCCTGGAAAGTCATTTCACCGCGAGATAAGCTTAAAGGCCGGGACTCCCCACAAGATACTTGATTTGAAGAAGCTTAAAATTTAAGGTTTAGCTCATGCTGGAATAAGAACTCATTAGTTTCAGGTTTACACCTGTTCTGTATTTGCAATCACACTCTCCTGGCTGGTTTGTATATAGAAAGCCCTTCGTGTCTTTTAAAGCCCAAAGTATTGCTGTGAAGCGTTGACGATTAATCTTAGAGCCATACGTAGAGTTGCCTGTGATGGAAGACTTCATTTTCTGCCTTGTATGGAAAGCTTTTGAATTCCTTTTTCAGAAATGCATCAAGATACTGTCTTTTCTCCCCTCACACCTGATCGCCATCTATCTTGTGGCTCTAAGAGATGAATTTTGTAAAGCAATGCAAATGAGAGATTTCTCTTCACCACCTCTTTTTTTGTGTGTTTCTAAAATACTGTACTTTCAAAGTTGCTACTTACAGAAGCACTATTTTAAAAAATAATCCAGAACTAAGACGTGACAATAAGAAATCCCACAACACACTACACGCAATCTACAAAAAAATTCATTCTCGCAGCCCTAAACCAACTTCTTACCTGCATGAGCTGCTGCTTCAATTTCTGTATTTCTGAAATGTTCAGCTCACTGAATAAGTCAGAAACAGGGTGCAGGGCCTCTCCTTTCCTTAAAGTGGGAGTCCGATAGTCTCCGTTCAGCTTCACGAGGGGCGCGTGGATGTGCCCGTTCATTTTGTCATCGTTGTTCGGTTCAGCCCCATCCTCAGCAAACTTGAGTCCATCTACCGAGATGCCGATGTGGTTGTCTCCGAGGGTGATGTACTGCGAGAGCTCCTTCCGCAGGCTATTTTTCTGCTCCCTCTCATTTTTTAAGGTCTCCAGGGCTTCCTCCAGCTGGTGCTCGGCGATCTCCTTCAGCCGGATGGCATCTTCCAGCTGGCTGTTGAGCAGAACTGTCTCCTCCTCAAACCGCTTAATCTCATGCTTTAAGCCTTCATATTCGACCTGAATCAGACAGGATAAAGAAGATTCATAAAACTAAAATTTGGGTCTGACAAAACTGCCATTAAACACGCCAGTGGACATGAAAAAATTAGACGTCTACAAAATAAATCTATAAAGTACATGGAAATACACTGCTAGGGTAACAGGATGGTTTCTTCAGATACTATATATCCATATATATATAAATTCAATTCCTAGCAGAGATGAAAAAGGAACTCTCTTAGGACTTCTTTTATGGGGTCCAATGGTCAAAAGAGGGCACGGTTTGCCTAATAAATCAAGAATATTTTTGTAATAGTTTATCAAATTATTCACAATCCGAGAAAAGTTTATCATCACTATTACTTTATTTAATTATTAATAATGAGGAAATTTTTATACTCAGGGCTAAGTTAATTGTAAGATCACAATAAGAATATAATCACAATAAAACATGTTTGGGAGTAAGATGAGAAAGCAAACTTCACGCCCTTAAGGACAGAATCTGGAATAACTACCAATTAGGCAAAAATTAAAAAAACGCATGGAGGTGGGTCAGGATGGCAGAGTAGGAGGACGTGGAGCTCACTTCCTCCCAACAAACACGTCAGAAATACATCTCCATGTGGAAGAATTCTCACAGAAAACCCACTGGAAACTGGCAGAAGATCTCTTACACAACCAGAGCTGCAAGAAAGATCCCCACGTGATCGGGTGACTGTGTGCCAGCCCCAGGAGCTTCATGCTGCAGGTTGGACAGACTTGGCATCAGGCTTCAGACTGTGGTCAAGTCTGCTGCCCATCTTTTGTTTTGGGACCAAACTGAAGGGTCACACTTCCTGGAGCATGTTTTTCTCATGATGATACAGGAGGGTAAGGGGATTAGTCAAACCAGGCAAGCATGCCTGAAATCTGCACACCATCGGGTCTGCTAACCTTCCACTGGTCAGAGAGAGTCACGTGACCAAGACCTCCATTAGTGGAGCCGGCCAATTTACCCTGCCCCTCCCAGGGCACTGCCAGGTGATGCGGCAGAGGGAGAGAGTAAAGAATTGAGAAGAACAATCTAAATCTGCCACACACATCTACAATCACATGATGAGATGTTTTCCTTTAAAAAAAAAACTTTATACTGTGGGTAATACGAAAATACCCAGCAGCAAGAAGAGCTCAATGAGCCCCAAGTGTCCACCACTCAGCTTCAGCAATCATCAATTCCTGGCCACCGTCCTTTCATCCGTATTTCCATTCACTCCCGTAGCTGGATTATTTTAACTCCTGGGTATCACATACTTTGGGATCTATCTCTAAGAAATAATTTTTTTTAAAGCATAGCCATATTCCCTTGAACAGATAATTTCTGAGTAACATGACAGAACCCTAGTTATCAAAAACAGTATCACCAGTGGGTTTGTAATGACACAGGAAATGAATATCACTTTGAGTGAAAAAGGAATGTATTATTGCAAGTATGCAATACAAGAGATCAACTGGACATTTAACAAAATGTTAACAACAGGTGTTCTGTAGGGGTGGTAACAAAGGCGATTTTTAAGGGAAAAAATACAGATATACTGTTATCAATATAATACTCTTTCCAGTTACAACCAAATAAGGGTCTGTTCAAACGCCCTCTTGGTTGTGAAAGTCCACAGGTGAGACGGATCTCTACTCTGAGTCCACATGCTTTGCTTGGAGGCTTTTCCATGGTACCACATGCCACCTTTCAATAAATATTTTATATCCACAGTTGCTTAGAGGAAATACTTTTTATGCACCGAGGTGTGCCTCAGAGTGCTTCAGATGTTCCTTCGTAGTGTTTCAACAGAATTCTGCTCTTAGTAAGCATCTGCTGAGTAAACAATTGTGAATGAAAAAATAAACTAGAAAAAAGTGTAACAATGTCAGTTACTCCCTTCTCGTGTCATCACTGCCGGGCTGCATCATGACTAGAGCCCCAAGAAACAGAATGAGAAGGCACTTAAAGGGTGGTGTTTGGTATCTTAAAGACAGCATCAAAGTAGACACCATGAGAAAAATCAGTACTTTGTTGGGATTCCTTATAGCAACTTCGGAGTTTAGTAATTCTTTTTATTTTTAACTACATGAGGGCTGGAGATAGGTACACAATCTTTTCAGAGTTTAGGAATGCTAAAGATCTCATTCTGCACCTGTAGTGCCACACCTAACACATAGCTTTAATACTCAATTACATGGATAGCTAAATTTACCACCTGCCTTCCCTACTGGGACTTGAAGCTCCTGGGGCCAGTGATCATGTCTTTTGTCCTTCAAAAAGTACATGGCCTCGTAGAAGGATACTCCTGGGGTGGGAAGGAATAAATTAATTGGGAGTTCAACATGTGCAAATACTAACTACTATACATAAAACAGGTAAAAAACAAATTTCTTTTCTATAGCACAGGGAACTATATTCAACATCTTGGCAGCTTATAATGAAAAAGAATATGGAAATGAATATATGTATGTATATGTATGATATGTATGTATATGTATACAAACATTATGCTGTACACCAGAAATCGACACATTGTAATTGACTATACTTAAAAAAAAGAAAAAAGAAAGAGACCCCTGAAACACTGGTTAAATGAAATCAAACTGAATTGATCCCCCAGGGTCCCCTATGATATTATTATCTGATACAGAAATATATTCCTAGAGGAAATATTCTTCAAAATAAAAATACAGTTGAATTGTTAATTGAAAACTAGGGTTTTTCAGTGCTTAGATAACAAATATTGAGTGCTTTAGTTCAATATATGAGATACTAGAGACATGAAATTTATTACTTCTCCCTTCCTCCCACCATCTCAACTCTAAAAAACTGAAACTAACATGATTTCCTGCCCCAGGTTAAGTAACACTGGAACCAGGCAAAATGTCCTGCCCCTGTGGTAACCGATAGTGGGACTTGGCATAAAAAACTTAGTTGCTTGTGGGAAATACTTGCTCTTGGAAGATGAGACTGAACTACAGTAGCTTACCCAAGACTCGCATCAAGAGCCTCCCTTTGTTGTGCCTCTCAACTCAAAGCCATGATGTCAAAAACCCTGTCTATCCCAACCAGTTTCCCACCGTGCAAGACCCACCTTAAAATCATCCAGTCCAGAGCCTAAAAAATTCTATGAACATCCTTCCTGTAGATACCCCAATTCGAGACACTACTAGCGCGCTGTCGAGGTGGTCTCTTACTGCGAGAGCTGAGAAACAGCTTTGCTTCATCAGCAGGTTTTTCTGGTGGTCTGTTGGGGAACTGAGAGTTGACTTCTTCTTATGGCTGCTGCTGTTTACTGTACTTCTTTCAGATATATTGGTTTGAAAAAGTATAAAGGTATAAAACGTTACTTAAAAGGCTGGGTCACAGAACCAAATCAGCACACAGAGGAATGTGGCTAAAGTGTTCAGAGTCAATTCTTTGAGGTTCCACGCATTTCATACTTAGGATCACAAATAACAATTGGTATGGTTAATTAGAATAATCTTAATTTAAAAAAAATTTTAATGGAGGTACCTGGTTATTGAACCCAGGACCTCATGCATGCTAGGCATGCGCTCTACCACTGAGCAGTGCCTACCCTTCCCTAATTATAATCATCTTAAATTTTAGTTTCCTTCTCAGTTGAATTATAAAGGAAAAGATTTATTCATTGTTTCAACAAATATTTATTTAATGCCTACTATAGGCCAGGCTGTGTTCTAGGTGTCATAATTTAGCAAAAAGAGATGGAAACAAACTAATATATAGGAGCTATATAGGCAGTAAAAAGTGGTATGTAGACAATTATTTGGAAAATAATCAATAAACAGTTACAAGGAAAATGGAACTTCAGGGGAAGAGAATGTTCTAGTTCTTTGAACTAAGCATTTTACAATCTGGGTAGTTTTGCTGTTTAGAGAAACCTCACACCAGACGGGAGAGCACGCTTTGTCCAGGGGGCTTCAGCACAAAGCAACATTCAGACCAATTTTGAGACTGAAAACCAGCCACTGTCATATCTTTTTAAAAAAAAATTGTGGCATTGGTACATAAAACATTATACTTCATACTTAGTTAATTAGGAAGAGAGTTTATGATAGATGCTGAATCCTATGAATAAAGACCAACAGCAGGAAAAAAAGGGAACCAAACCCCGGCATTTGCGTAACTGGGAGAGGCCTGTGACACCGCAGTGCGCCCATTTGTCAGGGAATAAGCCAGAACAGCCCTTGGTATAGGAAATGATTTCAAATTAATTAATTAGACCCTTAATTGGGAAAATTACCATATTGCACCTAAAAAACAGAATTAAAGAGATGTATACATTTTCCTGTCTGTTTTTTTCAACCTTCTGAGTTAAACATTTGATTTCCACGTTTCAGTGACTGGTGGGAGGGCATGAGTAAGCCATAAACAGTAACGAGCCAGCCTGATGGCACGAATTCCCGCCGGCGGGGCAGCTGGGCGATGAATACTCACGGGATACCTCGGCAGTCTGTCAACAATACCTACTACTGGCCTACATGGGCTTCCCGAGCCAATGGGTCTAGCACGTGCAGCGCAGGTGGGAGGCTGTCTGGCCGCACTCCTGCCTGTGCCCAGGGCACGGACGATCTGTAGGAGTCAGGAGTAATGCCCACTTTAAATGTTTGCCCTTGAAGTAAACTTGCTTCAAGTCCTGTACATTCTTCATCAGCGACCACAAAAACAAACACAAAAAATACCCTTCTCATTTCAAGACATTTCCAGGAAGCACTATTTTTTTTAAGTGGGGAGAGGGAGGTAATCCGGCTTATTTACTTTATTTTTAGAGGAGGAACTGGGGATTGAACCCAGGACCTCATGATGCTAAGCATGTGCTCTACCACTTGCCTATACCCTCCCCGCCCCGAGAAGCATTTCTTTTTAAAAATCTAATTTTCTCCACTGTGAGGTCACTGATCACAACCAAATCATGACCTGGGACCCCACAGTACCACCAGCCCTCGGCATGCACACAGTGATTCAGTGCTTCAAGGTACAAACACATGGGACATCCTGGTAATCCTCCTTTAATTGTCTGAAACTAACCCCCATACTCCTTAGCAGACAGCTTGCTTCCCAACCCTGCAGAGCTAGGCGGAGTGACAACAATCAAGAAATCAGATTTCAGTTGTGCCAGTACATAGATTTCTTTTTTTCTGAATTTTTCCTTTCCCCTCTTTATCTTTATATGTATCAAAACCACATGGTTGCCCCTCAGTATCCTTGAGGGATCGGTTCCAGGAGCCCCAGCAGTCACCAAAGTCCGTGAATGCTCAAGTCCCTCGTATACAGCGGTGTGGTATTTGCATATAACTTACGCACATTGGCACATCTTTAAATCATGGTTAGATGACTTATAACACTTAATGCAACGTAAATGCTATGTAAATATTGCCAGTGTTAGGCAAATTCAAGTTTTGCTTTTTGGAGTTTTCTAAAATTTTTCTTTTTTTCTTTTCTCCTTTCTTCCCTCCCTCTCCCTCCCTCCCTTCTTTCATTCTTTCTTTTTTTCTTTTTCTTTTTTTTAATCCATGGTTGGCTGAATCTGTGAACCCATAGATACGAAGGGTCAACTGAAACAGCTCTGGATGGAGATACCAACTTGAGAGGGAGAGGAAGTGAAGGCACACATCTGGGCTGGCCTCTAAGTTTATTGAAAGCAAGAATCCTGCCTTACGGATTCTGGTACCTCTCTAGCCTAGCACGGTGCCTAGCATGGTGCCTGGCACAGTTTCTTGACCTAACCTGAGAGGTTGTAATGGTGTTTAGACCAAAACAGGGTTGTGGTTGAGGAACCACGTTGGAAAGACCTTGAAATCCAGTTCACCTTTGCTGAACAACCTATGAATTGTATTCACAAGTCAATTCTACTAAAAGCACAGATTCAAGAGTGCTCTTACTAGTGACTATAACAAACCCCAGGGCAAACCGATCGGGAAAATTACACGGTTAAGCTGTCTAAGCCTCACTGCCCCCCAGATTATTTAAATGTACACATGTACTCTTTCTAGTCAGGTCACAGCAGAATAAAGAAAACAGGAATTTTCTTTTGTATAACGTTGTTCTTACCACTTTATATTTCATAATCCCTTTCCCTGTATGGTTTGAAAACAATTTAAATGAGAGAGAGAAAGAGAGGTGGGGAGAGAGAGGGAGAGGCTAATTGAGATCGCAGGGAAAGCTTAAGCTTGTCGCACAAAACAAGCTTATAAACTCAGGCTTTTAATAAGTCTCAGGTTAAACTGGTTACGATACATTTAGCTTCCTCCAAACATAAATTAATATAGAGCTAAAGTATAAAGAAAATGTTTTCTTATCCAATAAAGCTTTACTGGTATTTATACTACTTCTAGGTTTGCCTTCTACATTTTAGCTGAAATAAGACGGCTGGGAAAGTTCAGCATATAAATAATATATGGAGATGGAAGCAAATTTCGAGTTTCCTTCCTAGAGAAGATTTAACCTCAGGGGTCAGAAGGTGTGGATCTATCTGGAGTGTCGCCAAAAAACTTTTTAAACCTTACCTGGTTCTGCTTTAACGTGGACACCAGCTTCTGCAACGTGATGTTCTCTTCTTCTAATTCGGTGTAGTCCTGAAGGAGGCGGGCCTCCCGAAACTTGTATTCTCGTATTTCATCCTTCATCCGTATTCTCTGTAGCTCCAACATCTCATTGTTCTGCAACGAAAGAATAAATAGTCAATACAAAACATTCTTATCCTAGATTTTGTGAAGTGTAGAAATGAAGTCTTGGCAGTTAAAACATAATAAAAAACATCTCATGGATTATAAATCGGTACCACCTTTTTTGAACGGCAATTTAGTGATCTCGATCAAACTTTAAAAGTGCATACACATAACATAATCTAGCAATTTTACACCTAAAAGTCATTCTTTTTTTCTTAGTTTTTTTTTTTGGTGGTGGAGGAGGGAGGTAATTTGATGATTGATGTTAATGGCGGTACTGGGAATTGAACCCAGGACCTCTTGCATACTAAGCACACACTCTACCACTGAGCTATACCCTCTCCCCACTAAAAATCATTAAGTAAATTTTCTTAGAGGTAAATGAAGAAGAAAAAGAAATCCAGGTATAGGGACACAAAAAATTGGAAACAATCTATATGTTTGCTAATGGAGGATCAGTGAAATAAACGATCATGCATCTCTTAGTGGAGCATTATAAAATTATTAAAAAGAACAAGAGAAAAAGGCTTTATGCACTAGAATGGAAAGATAGCCACAATGTATTATGAAACATAAAATAAAGTTAGTATGCATACAATACCAACTTTCCATACTCAGGGCTGGTGGGGAGGTCCCCTCTGCAAGTTTCAAAGTCTTCCAACTGCCTTGGTCCAGCCACTCTGGCCTCAGTCACCTGGCTGCAGCCACAGAGATCCCCTCTGCTCCCACACAGAGATCCCCTCTGCTCCCTCCCCGTGGTGGGCCTGCCAGTGGCTCCAGCCCTCAGGCGTTTGCATCCCACCTCCCACAATTCCTTGCCTCCAGATCAGGGATCTTTAACCCCATTTGTGCCATGGCCCTTTCTGACCACCTGGTGAAGCCAATGGACCTCTTCTCAGAATAATATTCTAAGGGACATCGAAAGGGTTCAGAACCTCCCAGGCCAAAATATGCCAGTTTGGTACATTGACCGTTTTGAGCTGAAAGCACTTGAGAAATAGCAGAGGGAGGAAGGCCTCTCTTCCCTCCTCCTTTCTACCTAAAAACAGGACATGAAATTTCCCTGGAGAGAGGTGCCCCCCGGACCAGGAAGATAACGTTCTCATCACCAGAGATGGGTAGTCTATGCCAAAATGACCCAGACAGACAGACCTGCTAAAATAACCTTACTTGGTTTCCCACACATAGTTCCTCCTCACTGTCCCACAATACACTGCCCGTCACCCAAGCCCCTTTGTCTTGTCACAGCCCCGGGATTTATCATTCTTTGTGTAAAAAGCTACATAAGCCTTGGGGCCTTAATGACCTTTTCTGCTCTTCCTTTTCCCTTTGAAGGCTCCCATGTACAAGTAAAAAAATTAAATAAATCTGCAAGCTTTTTTCCCCCGTTAATCTGTTTTATGTCAGTTTAATTCTTAGTTCCAGTCACAGAACCGAAGAGGGTGGAAGGAAATTTTCCTCCCTTCCAGTGGGAAGGACAGGATTACTGTGCTCTACGCTGGAATTTGACACAACATTGTAAAATGACTACAACTCAATAAAAAAATGTTAAAAAAAAAAGACAGGGTTACCAAGGACATTGATTATGTTACAATTAAGCTAACACAATATTTTTTAAGACTATGATATGGCAATCAGGGAGATGGTTACAGTAGTGGCCCCCAGTTAATCACACTTCTCTGTGGTCACACGCTGTGGAGTTTCTGCTCAAACCGACTCTGAACTGGCCTCTGACTTGCTGCGACCCACAGAACGCAGGGGAAGCCTCAGTCCCCAGAAGCCTTGAAGCGCTTGCTCTTTCTTGGAACAAGGCCACCCATGAAGAAGGCCCAGCCAGCCTGCTGGAGCCCGGGCCCAGCCCCCAGTCCGCACCGGCTGCCCGGCGCCGGACTGAGACGTGTCGAACTATTTGGTTCAGCTGAGCTGCCAGATGACGGCGCCACAGGAGTGGCCCCAGGCTAGTCTGTAAGGTACACCCAGCTGAGTACAGCTCAAATATCTGATCCATAGGATCATGGGTATTATTTTAAGCCCTTAATATTTGGGGCAATTTGCTACACCTTAACACATAACTGATACAGTTAAGACATGTGCTTCTTTATTAATGGAATGTGTAATCAGACCGAGTGGCAGATTTAAGAAATAACTGTAATTTCAAAGCAATGATGATATTTCATGATCCCGCAAGAACTAAGATGTGATATGAAAATTTTGCTCACAAAGGAATTTGTGCTGCTCCTTACAAAAAAACGGAAAACAGAATGGAGACTCCTTTAAAGACTAAAAATAGACTTACCATGTGATCCAGCAGTCCCACTCCTGGGCATATATCCAGAGGGAACTTTAATTCAAAATGATACATGCACCCCAATGTTCATAGCAGCACTATTTACAATAGCCCAGACATGGAAACCACCTAAATGTCCATCGACAGATGACTGGATAAAGAAGTTGTGGTATATTTACACAATGGAATACTACTCAGCCATTAAAAATAATAAAATAATGCCACTTGCAGCAACATGGATGGACCTGGAGATCATCATTCTAAGTGAAGTAAGGCAGAAAGAGACAGAAAAATACCATGATATCACTTATATGTGGAATCGAAAGAAAAAAACCCAGACAGACAAATGAATTTATTTACAAAACAGAAACAGATTCACAGACATAGAAAACAAACTTATGGTTACCAGTGGTGGGGAAAGGGATAGGAAGGGATAAATTGGGAGTTCGAGATTTGCAGATAGTAACTACTGTGTAAAAAATAGATTAAAATGTTCATACTGTACAGCACAGGGAACTAGATTCAATATCTTGTAATAACCTATAATGAAAAAGAATATGAAGACGAATATATGTATGTATATGTACAACTGAATCATTATACTGTACACCAGAAAGTGACACAACATTGTAAACTGACTATGTTTCAATTACAAAAAAAAAAAAACCTGTCTGCATAGCGTGGCCAACATTTGTTTGCCAAACACCTGCTCTTCTCATTTTCTGTGAATTGTCTTTCTCCCCTTTGAAGCTCCAGACCCCTACCTCCGCCCTCTTAGCTCGGAATGGTACATAAGCCTTGATTACTTGGCTGCTGGGGAGTCTCACATTTTTATGGGGCTCCCTTACAGTTTTCTTCTGTTAATCTGTCTTATGTCAATTTAATGATAAGACCAGCCAATGAACTTAGAAGGGAAGAAGGAAAGTTTTCCAGCCCTACAAAACCTTATACGAATACACCCTTTGGACTCTGGTGAGTCTTCTCAATGATCTGACCCTGTGTAACTGCTGCAACTTTAGGAAAAACAAACATAACAGAAATGGAGGCGAGCAGAGTGGAGGGCAATAAATAATGAATTCCAGCAGCTGCCCAGGAAGACACTGCACAGAAGACAAGGCGTAGCCCCCCTGGCTCACACCTTGAACAGTCAGGAGACAGTGAGCTGCTCCGTCCCCACAAGGCAGACCATACAAGTCAGCCCTGCAGGGAAGCCGAGTGTCAAGGCTGCAAGTTGCATCAGAATTTTTTTGCCTTCCTAAGATAATACTCTGAGGCATTTTTTCATGCACTCTGTAACAGTAAGAAATCATTGGAATATGTTTCTACAAACTGCATCTTTGCAGACAGACTTCTAAAACCAAACAAAGTACCATAAGGCAAGATGAACAAAAGAAATACTTGAATACTACTCTCTAAGCAGAAATTCAGTTTAGATTGGAAATATATGAAAGGTATACATAAATTGAATAAATATACTCAATAACTTTTTTTCCTTCTTGGCAGGTGAAGGTTATAAATTGACTCTAAGTCTTGTAGTTTTCTCATGCTTTTACATTTTCTTTTATAAAATGCTTTTTTGTCATTACTTATTCTACAGTCGCTCAAAGTGAATTTTTCAATCCATTACAGTGCCATTGAAGTGGGCAAACTTGATTATTTAATGTTTTAATAAAAGTTGTTTTCGCCACTTACATAGAACATACCAGGCAGAGGAAAGAAATTTCTCAGGCATAAAAAGACAGCAAAAGAATGCTATGATTCAACCACATATAACGAATGCATAATATTAGTAGTTGGTAGTTAAATATGGGACAAATAGTTAAATAAAAAGAATTTGTGGTATCTATTCTACTATAATAATCAGTAAACTGAAGCCCAGAGAGACGAAGGAAACTGGGGTAATCCACAGAGGTAGGAAATACCTACCTAGTTATGATCCAAATCTCCCAGATCCTAAATTTGAGCTTCTTTTTTTTTTTTCTTTTTTGAGCTCTTTTCATTAACACATTCTCACTGACTTTGTCTCCTGGCTTCAGGCAGAAAGCCAAAGAAAACAAATTGAAAGGAAAAGACTAAAACATACAAGGGGAAAGTGAATAGTCCTCTGCAAATCAGGCTGAATTCACAGTAAAGAGAGGACCGAGGGGCTGTGGGAGCCTCAGGCTCCGAGCAATGTGGCATGTGGCTCTGAGGTTCAAAGAACACCAATTCAGGGAAGAAAAGGGAGCGTCTGGGGGATAAGGACCGTGCTTTCCCTCCCTGGAGACTCGGAGCTCTGCACAGGGGCTCCCATGATGGCTCCCTTCCCCCAGCCCTGGGAAAGAGTTTTGGAAAGTGCGCTGGGCATCTTCTTTTGGCACCTGCTGCTCAGGGCTCACTGCTGCAGAGACAGCACGAGGGCTTCCGGCTGGTGAGCGCCTGGTGTCTACATGGCTTTTGAAGACCCCACTGGACACACTTCACACACAGGGTCCCTCTCAGGCGGCAGGGAGGAGAAGCTTTTATACCGAGCTAAGTCTAATGAGAAGGCCTTTCACAGACACACAAAGGCCGGTGACGCAGTTTTCCCTGCCTTGAATTTCAATTAGCATCTTAGGCAACAAACCTGAAAATGACTGAGAAATGTCTGCCTATAGTGTGTGGGCCACGGCCAAAGAAATACTACAAAATATATATTTCGAATCACTCTCCGCCAAATGAACCC